AAACAGATAAATTCAACAACACCAAGCGACAAAACTTGTATATTATTAAAGAAGAAAAACAGATAAATTCAACAACACCAAGCGACAAAACTTGTATATTATTAAAGAAGAAAAACAGACAAATTCAACAACAATCGGCGTGGATGAAATAAAATAACGAGTCTGTAATGTATGTAGATATATTGTTCAGTGTATAAAAGGCACTTTTTTACCCCATAATTTGATGTCGAAATCTGCTTGCGTCCTATACACCGAAGGTATGAATAATATATATGTATATATACGATATACACAAACCATGTGTAAATATATTTAAATAGGCATGCATAGTTTAGTTCAATTGAATGTGTTATTTATAACAATAGTAGTTGTTTTTTCTTTTAAAAACATAACTATTTATAATGCTCCCTAAATAATGAAAAAATAAATTACAGTGAAAGCAATGAAGATTTTGTAGGTTTTGAACCAAACTAAATAACAGTAAACCTTTTTTTGATTTACGGTATTTTCTTATTTTGATGTTTTGAGCTTTTTTATGTTTAGAACAATATATACTAATTTTTAAAGTATCAAACTGAATTTTTGTTCAATAAAAATCTTTCAAATGCGACTGTAGCTTTTTTTTTCCAAAAAAATTTGTCTTCAAAGTAAGGGTGCGTCTTATATTCCGAAAAATACGGTATATGTGATTATACTATAATAATATATCTTAACCAATTGAGGTGCGGAAAACGCTAAGCTCCTCTCAGTCCCTTCTTAGCTGGGGACTACTCCCCGCGACTTAAAAGCTGGTGTTCAATAATGGAATGGTTACTGTAATCGGACATTTCCTATGAGTCTTCTACATTAACATATGACCTCTGATCACCTCCTTCTTGACTTTTAGGATTAGACCATTATTCTTTAATGCTGGAAAAGGTTAGCATGAATGTGAAACTGTATCCCATAATATTACGAAACCATCACGGGTATGTAATTTTAATCCTTTTTCAAAATACTTCCTGCATTTTATCTTCGCGTGTTTACAAGTCTTGTATTCCTGATTTTCTATCGGTTGTCAAAAAATGGGTTCTAACAAAATAAATTCGTTAACCATATTCCATATTTCTGGTTAACAAAATAAACTATAAATAACATTTAGTTCGGTTTCACGGCTGATTTACAAACAGACACAAATATCACTTTGAGGGGGGTTTTCTTGTGGGGTTTTTTTTTCGGATAACACACAGCATCTGAGTCTGCGCAAAGGCTTAAACAAATTTATATGGAGCTATGCATTAAACAATATTTAAAAAAAAAAACTTACTTCGCTCCAGCTCCGGAAACAATCTGTCATTCTACAGAAACCACTACAATTCACGAAATAATTTAACAATAAATAACAACCACTAAAAACGTATAGACACCCGAGAAGAACAGCTTATTAAACTATAAACTGCATAAAAATTAACGTTTCTTAGTGTACAAAACAGTGGACTTGAGGTGAATAATCACACAAAAATTACACACACACACCCTCAATTTCTTATCACACTTCACAGGAAACAACCAAAAAAATATATTAAAAGTTATCACTAAATACTGACTGATGTCTGAGATATTCAAGATATTAGTAGTTCAAACCTGACATTATGTTGAGTTTCCAGATGAACAAAAGGCTTTCCAAGGTCTGCTTCAACCGTTTGGAAATTTACTTTTGTTAGAAATATTTGATTAGCAAAGTTCTTAGACTTAATCCAACGTCTACCTTATTTCCTGCGTAAGACTCCAATGCGGCGCTCCTTCTCATGGACGGATATTACATCAGGAACTTCCACTTCCGTAACTGATTCCGATAACGACGGAAATTTCAAATGCGCCTGCGCTTAAATTGATTTTTTATCCAATAACATTTCAATACCAAACAAATTAACGGTCGTTTATCGTATACTGCTACAATTTCTTACATAAAAGTTGACAATGCATTGATTACCTTGTTTATTTAAATAATAACACGATGAATAAGTGTGTGTCCTTTGAAAAAGATATATGCACGTGAGATATTTTTGCGTGGCCATTTTGTTTATCCAGAAGTCGTGCCAATCTTTTATTGAATAACACGAGCCTGGGTTTAAGTTTCCTGTTTACAACACATACCGCTAAGTTACTGTTTCAAGATGTATGAACTAAATCGGTCATATTTTCTAGCACACTGCACTAACGCGTTTCATAAACATGCTTTAGGCCTAACCGGCTCTCCTTATTGTAAGATGTATTGTTATAAACCAGAATGATGGCACGTAACACAATTGGTATGTATTGTAATGTTTAAAAATTAAACACAGACCACAGAAAAACAAAGATGAACTTAACACACTCGCAGAGTATAGAAATCCACTTTTGTTGCTCCTAAAATGTTGACTACTCAAAAATAAAATGTTTAGAAGCTAAGAAAGTTTTAATCGGGTAATATCAATGGTTTCCATGCATTATCAATTGTTTTTAAGACTAGAAATCCCTTGAGGTATATTTATAAAAAAAAATGTACCTAAAACGTAGATAAATCATATACAATTTAAAAAAAAACAGTAAGTATATTGGCTTAATTAAGAGTTCATGAAATTATATCCAGTCATTCACATTATGAAGTGCTAAGCCTAGTATTATTTTTTTTCTATCCGAGATAGTTGGTCAGTTGAACGAAATTTGTAGCAGAAAAACTTGGATAATGATAGAATCATAACCGTAAAATTTTAGTTCTAGTTTTAGCAAACACGATAAATATATATATATATATATATATATATTTATCGTGTTTGCTAAAACTAGAACTAAAATTTGTTAGGTCTTTTAATACAAGTAGGTCTTTTAATACAAGTTTAGGCTTAATTTTCATTAATTAGCGCTACATTCAGCTTAGCCAATGGGTTTTAGGCCTACGTTCGTAATTTATGTATGTTATTCAATTAACTGTATTTTGAAAAATAAGTTTTTATGTTTCTAAAATTCAGCCAATAGCACTACACTTTGTACAAATCGCATATTCATACTAGAAATATAGATTCGATAATTGTTACTTAGGTTTAGTAGAGATTTGTCTTAAACTATTATTATTATAGTGGCTAACTACACATGATGTTTCATGCACGATATTTAATGGAGAAAATTTATATCTTATGGATTTAGGTATCAAAACACAGATGGAGTAAGTTGAATAATAACAGTACTAAAAGTTACTTTAAGCAAAATGTTTATCACGTGAATTCCACTGTAAATTAAAAGTTCAGTAAGCAATAACATTTGGATCAAAAAATGTAAATTGTGTTTCTAAGACGTAATAATAGTTTTATGTTGGGTATATTTTGTTACAACATATTTAACTGGAAATGTTACTGTTTCTTTAAAAATCAGAAGCAAAGCATGTAAAAAAAAACACACACGCACACACAGGATGTCAGTCCTGGCGGAAATAAGTCCCGACACTTAAAAAATGAAAACTATGTATATAAAAATAACTTATTCAGTTTACACCCGAACATTTTTTTCTATTTGTGATCTCCGTGTCTACTGGCAGAGCTCTCCCCCACACACACATTCTGTCACTCTCTCTCGGGAGCTGGAGTCAGGCATCTTGCGACCACTCCGGCTCAAGGGCAGATGTCAGTGTGTTAAAAATGAAAACATGTTTTTTGTCATACGTCACGTGTTTTACTAAAACACACAAATACGGTATTAATCACTTGAAATACATTTCAAAATTATAATGTGTGTTTAAAACGTATATGTTTTGAAAGGCTTATTATTTACATAATATACAACGAAGGTCGCTTTCGTGTTGGCAGATAAGGTGTGCGAGACATTTTAAAATTCAAACGTTGTTAATAATGTATTGCAGTTAGAATTATAGTATATTAAGAAATTTAAAACTTTTTAAATAGTAGTAACTTTTATATGGTACCAGTTATTGTTTTCTTTCTTGCTACTTACCGTACTGGCCCGATTATAGGGCGACTCCTATTTTCAGAAACCATGGGAGAGGAACAAAGTGAGTGTCATAACGCCCTTTATAGGTCCGCAAAATCAATACTATAACTGAACAGTTTGCAGGTAGATTAGTTGCAAGAATTAGGAACGACCTCGAGTGAACATCTGGCGCGCATGCGTAGACGGATGCTATTAGTAGGGGGAAGGGGCTTGTGGTAAGACGACTATGAATTTTACAGCCTAATTATTAACCAGAAAATATCGCCTTATAATCGGACCAATACGATAATTTAAAGGAAGCTGAGTTACCCTTTTTCTCTCGCTAATATATGCGTATCCAATTTAGTACTAATGTAAGTAGTATCAAATAATTAGTGCTGCATACATGTTCCTCATTTAAAATGGAAATAGGTTTTTGACTACGATATCTTTACCCTGATATTTGACGTCATACATCTGACAGGGCTTCGGTGCTATAAAACTTAGCACTATACCACTGAACACACCTTGATTCTTCTATTAGCGTTAAAGCTTTGTTTTCACGAGCCTAACACACTTGAAATGGCATGTACTGTACGTAATCAGTCTTTTGTCAATAAATTTATCACTTTACTTTAGATGGACAATCAAATGCTTACCAGAAAACTTACTTACTTTCGACACGAACAATTTTTATTATACAACTTTGACATATTTTAAAAACCTTATCTACTAAAAATTTAATTTTCACAATACTACAGATTGTAGTACGTAAACATAAATAATACTAAATTCTAAATAACAGTTTCTTTGTTAATGGTTTTTTTGTTTTTTTAATTTCGCGCAAAGCTACACGAGAGTTATCTGCAGTAACCATCCATAATTTAGCAGTGTAAGACTAGAGGGAAGGCAGCTAGTCACCACCACCCACCGCCAACTCTTGGGCTACTCTTTTACCAACGAATAGTGGAATTGAACGTCAATTTATAACGCCCCCACGGCTGAAAGGGCGAGCATGTTTGGTGTGACGGGGATTCGAACCCGCGACTCTCAGATTGCGAGTCGAGTGTCCTAACCACCTGGCCATGCCGAGGCCCTAAACACCTGGCCATGCCGGGCCGTAACTCTTATTAAATCAAGTTTTTGTCATTTCAGTCCGTTTATTGTCACTTTAAAAACATGTTTAAAAAATCCAGAAAATTACACCTACCAAGACCAAATATGGAAGATATTACATCTAAGAATTATCCACTCCCAATTTGATGATAATCAATCCATCAGTTCTCCAGTCATACGCAGACAAAAAAGTTATTAATATATTCTATTTTGTAAACTCATCAACATTTAATGCATCATAGAGTTTATGAAACTATAGCCAAAGGTTACCAATACATTTTTCTGCAAAAAAAAAAACAACAACAAAAAACAATACTCACGGAAAAGTAGGGTTCATTTTCATACAGGTTAAGGTTATCATTTGGGAAAAGGTCTTGAACCCTGTCAAGGTCAGTTTCCTCTACAGTAGTTTCTCCTCTTCGAACCATCTGTAAACAAACAAACAAACATGTCAGCCAACTAATGATTAGTTTCAACGTTGCAGTCAGTGCCGGATTAACCAATCACTTTCTCCAACCCACATAACACACTTTTTAAATCATGACCTTGACCTTTATTAACGACCGAACTCATAGTAAAACCCACCTATGCGTTTGTTAAATGTTCGCGCCAAGCTTCACGAGGGCTATCTTCACTAGCAGTCTCTACTTCTTGAAGCGATAGACTATATGGAAGGCAACTAGCCAACACCATCCACCGTCAGCTCTTAGGCTACTCTTTACCAAAAAAATTGTATTATTGACCTTTTATAAGGCCCTCGCGACTGAAAGAACAACTATGCTCAGCGACGGGTTCCGATCCCACGATCCGCAGATTTCGAGTCGACCGTCCTTAGAGAGTTTATCCAAGGTTTTTGTCTATCTCGCGCACCGTGCCTCGTACTAGGCCTGCACATTCTCGAACAGGGCATTTAACTAAATGTAATCAAAATACACACACGACATGAACAGATTGTAACGAAAACCGGAAACATAATGTCGCGGTTACAGAAGTTACCTTGATTTACATAAGAACAGCGAGAGGAGAATGTCAGTCGCCAAGATTCGATCGAATACCTATAACACACAAAGTCACGGTTATAACTATTACTTCACTAATACCTATAACACCCAAAGTCACGGTTATAACTGTTACTTCACTAATACCTATAACACACAAAGTCACGGTTATAACTATTACTTCACTAATACCTATAACACACAAAGTCACAGTAATAAATATTACTTCACTAATACCTATAACACACAAAGTCACGGTTATAACTATCACTTCACTAATACCTATAACACACAAAGTCACGGTTATAACTATTACTTCACTAATACCTATAACACACAAAGTCACGGTTATAACTATTACTTCACTAATACCTATAACACACAAAGTCACGGTTATAACTATTACTTCACTAATACCTATAAC